TGCACTTGGAGATGTAACGAACGATCATCGACTTTGAAAGTATAACCAAATGTATCCTGAGAGACACGCTCATAGAGAGAGAGAGAGAGAGAGAGAGAGAGAGAGAGAGAGAGAGAGAGAGAGAGAGAAAGAGAGATCCGAGAGCAGTTTTACGCGTGTACACATAAACCTGCATACCATTACGAAGGGTATACGTGCGTTTCTTTAGGGGTGACTTTTATTGAACGTTTGAATCGTACACCGTTTTGTCAAAACATTTAAGTAGCGCATTATTTATTAAACAATTAAAAGGTCTCTTTGCCGTCCATCACGTGCACGCCTTTTTAACGTATAGTCTTTTATTTTATTCCATTTGTTTACTTTGTGCATAATTTTATCCGACCCACCTCGATGCTCGTTTCAATGATTACCACGTGGTGCACGTTGACAATTGAAGTGTACGATTGCAATACCTGACGAAGGTAAAAGACGCGATAAAATGAACCGCACGTGTTTAATAAACGCCGTTGTTCGTTGCGAAAATGTAGAGCCCGAGAATAATGCGAGAATAATGTGACATGACGAGAATCGATTTATCGATATATCTACACTACACGTACGGTGATGACGTTATTCTTACGCATTTTCGTCCTATATGTTGTGAACGAAAATTATCGTAGACACGTGCAACGCTCAACAACACTTTCATTCCAAAAGGATTCGTACACCGACGGTATTATTTCTGTAACAGCTGTGTACGTGCAGATAAATATAATAAATCGAAACCTATTCTTTTTTTCCGCCTTTGCGCTCAAAGGGTCACCGAGAGGTAATACGAAAATTATCCTTTCGTTCGACTGTTATACTGTTATTACTCACGAGTAGTTGTCGGAAGTCGTTGTCGTACACGCACGGGAGTTCCACAAATGAGTTCCCAGTATTTTCAGGACACGGATTAGCACGTCCGGTTCGTTTCGAGCAAAGAACGTTGTTCGATTGCTACCGCGTGTGTGACAATGAGTGCGTTCTGGTTCGTACGAGTAATACGTTTCAGGCGCGGTTCCAATTGGGAGGGGGGGAAACTGAGGCCATGCCCCCTATTTTCAAAAATTGAAATTAAATTAAACGCTCGTCGGGCAACGGCGACAGGTGCGACAATCGTGATAATGATCTATCGTGATCCGTACCGAAACGATCGCCACGTATTCGGGTACAGGTTCAGCGCGATATCCGCCGTCGAAGTCAGTCGCTGCAGCACCCGAAAAGATCCCGTCCGATTTAGGCCGCCACCGGCATGAGTTTTCGCTGATAAATACGTGGGCCCTCGGGGTACGGTCGTAATAACAATATGGGTCGCGCACCTCCCCCAACCCAAACCACCCCCGTTAATGTATTAAACGTACCGGGAACGGATCTATTTCGGTGCTCTGCGGCTGCTCGCTTGGCTATAGTAACAATATCATGAATTCCGTACGATTACGGCGTTTTGGACGTACCATAATGCAGTAGTACACATTAAAATAATATAACAGTGCAATAACGATGTCCACGTGAAAGCGTATTATAATTTTATGTCTATACACACACACACACACACACACACACACACACACGTGTTCACGGTGAATTTAATATCCCGCGTGAGAGATATTATTGACCTAGACCTCGCGTCGTTTGATATTTCAATTTACGTTCATCCAATTTTCAGACGATCAGATCACGTTACATGCGAGTAGATTATGCACGTCGCAGTTGTGTGCATTATGTTTAAAAGTTTTCCACTTAATAATTTTTTTATTTCTTTTTTCTTTCTTAAACGATTCAATTTCAATTTTAAAACTACTTAACTGTATGAAATCTTATCGTTGTCTAAAAAACGATCCTTATATTAACATTAGTGTACCAAAGCGTAAGGAAGTGTATGAACGCGTAAAATAAATGTAATAACTTTAAATCGTGGTACATTAAAATATTCAAACGTTTCGGATCATAGATCATGTATTAAATTGACGTATACTATAATTTGTGGCATCAAAATTAATAAAAGCAAACTTCCTTATAGAAATTCATCATTTTTCGCAAGTTTTTAAGGCTTTTCTTTATACGCTTCGATAAACTACTGAGAAAATTGAAAATTAAATTTTAAATTACCCACTTTGTTCAACCCCCAGTCTAGAGAATTGCTTTTTTTCTCTTTAAATTAATAAAACAAGACAATTTGCAATCTGTACAATAATTTCTACAATAAGTAGTAAATTGTGTAATTCGACAAGGTACATGACATGAACAAGATAAAGAATAAATTACTCATTGGTAAATATTCTCATTTAAAACATTTTACAGCAAATCTGTACATCATGTGCACTTTAACCTACATGGTGTTATAGTAAACATGTAAGAAATAAGTGCATTGTAGGTAGATGCATTGTATGTAGGTTTAAATTTTGTTGAAAAGGTTTAAAGAATATTTGTGCCAGTTTGGTTGTTATTTTCGAATGGGATTTTTGCCAGTGGCTAGGAAAACAATATCATTAGCATATTTATGAGTGACTAGAGTGTTATTATTGTCGTGGAGTGTCACAACAGTAAACACATTGTGAAGATCGAGATATCAATCACTTCCTTGTGGAACTCTAGTATAAACGATATATAATACGAGTATATATACATGATTGAATAATAGGTATTTACCTTGTCGTATTTTCTAAATATGATTTAACGATTAGATGAACAAGAGCTGGCAAGATCAAATTTAGATTGTCATCGCGGCAAGCTTTATCAAAAAAAGTGGGCATTGTCTAAAAGGAGCTTTGAACAATATGGTTTTCAAGGCAGTTGCGATTTCTTCAGTCGATGGATTTAATGAATCTTACTCGGTCACTATTTCAAAACCAAATTGGTTGTCAGTGCTCTATGATGATTATGTAGAATATAACGCAGTCTTTTCAAAAGTATTTTTTTCGAAAAACTTACCTAATACGGGAAATAGACTCATATGATGATACTGATGTGAATAAATGTTTTGGTTTATTTGGTTTGAGTATTAAAATTATTTTTGAAAATTTCTGAATTTCCGGAATGTGATAATCTGAACAAAACATTGTACATGTGAGTTATTTATGTTAAGGCTTTAAAAGATACAGTTCTCTGGGTCGTTAGTTTGCAATTTGACATAGATTTACTTAACACAATTAATTTACATATTTACGCGAAAGTAGTCCGAACTAGGTTTGTAAGTGCAACGGCGTTGTAAAAATTGTAAACGACATCAGGGTTGGCTTCGTTGAGTGCTTTCTCCGTGTTGATGGGGCGGTTCCAGACAATTCGTTTTTTTCGTAGTTCGAGCAGTTGAGCGTGAAACGTTCATTTGATAGCGGTTCATTAAAATTATTGTTATTTAAATATTATCATTATTATTATTATTAGTGATGTCGTATTACTTGTACGATCTATTTGTTGTGTCCCTGTGGGCCACATATAATTGTATTTATTGCATTGTTCCTATTTTTATTTTGTTTTACAGTTTGTAATTTTGTATTATTATATTAACTATGACAAACAGACAACAAACAATTTATCATATTCGTTTATTTTTCTATTATTATATATTTATTGTTGTGTACGCTTTGGGTAAAAAAAATTATTATTCTATTTTATTTTCGTATTTCCTTCATATTTCATTCTGATCACTACTACAATTGCTGATGCCTCTGCCGTTGTCGCACACCCACGAATGTATTAAACGTACAAAAAAAATATTCCCCATCCCCTCACTCAGGTTCCATCACAATGGTCCAACGCCAAGTGCAGGTAGCAAAATCAAAGGGGGTCACGATAACACAAGAGATCCGTGGGGGAGATAATCTAAAGGTATGTTTTCGTTTCCATAACCCAATGACATACCGGAATTCAGTACACCACGATCCATCGATCGTAGAGGTCGACGGAATTCTAGAATTCTGTCATGTTTAACGATTATAGAAGAAGGATTAGTGGTAAGAAAACGGATAAAAAAAGCATGTGATAAATTTTTAGCTAGACGTGAATAATGATACCATGTCATCGACCACGCATGTAAATGTCTTCATGATAGTATTTTTATCATAAAAAATTATAAAATTTAAAGTATCACTCGGGTCTAAATTCTACGAATCACATAAATTTGATAAAAATAAAATCTTATACTCGGTTGTTTCGATCCATATTACAATCAGATTAGACGCAGTTGCGTCAATTGCAGTTTGAATTTTAAAACTGTAAATAATAATTTTACCAGTTTTTATAATTTACATTTGAAAATTAAAATAAACATTATTCACATATACGAGTATATATAATAAATAATAAAAGTTCTAATTTTATATTGCTATAAACATTTTCAGTATAATATCTACGACCATTAAATAATGTCAAGGTTTAAAACCCGAGGCTAATGGTTCTCCGTACGTCCCATAATTCTGTCTTGATATATATTATATAGTAAAGAATAGTCTTTAGTTCGAGTAAGTAAATTTTTTTTCCTACAGTCTCCTTTTTTTGACGTTTTTTTAAGTATTTTCGTAGCATGTAATACACGAGTGGGTTTTAAACTCATTTTCAGAGGGTTAATAATATTATATAACCAAATGTTAAATATTCAATATTATTTGAGAAGATCACAGATGACTATAATTTTTCATCAAATGATTTCGAGTATCGAGTGATACGTTTATAATTGAAAAATAATAATAATAAATCTACAGATTCAAAAAGGATACTACAAAATCTGAAATTAATGAAATGTTGCTGTTTTATAGATTAGATTATATTTACAAAAATAAATCAAAAAATTGTAACTTACTTGGTGGTATTTTTAAAAAATATACGAGTGTAATGACTCAATAGTTGGATTATTAAGTGATTTTTTTTAATTTTAAAGCGTACATTATACCACTATTTCGATGCATTTGAAAGCGTTTTGTATTCATTCGACCAACGTGTTATGATTTGAAATTAATGGTACATTTTTTTTTTGATTTCAGATTTGCCAGAGCATGCACTAGCGATCAAGGCGTAATATCATTGGCAAGGTTTAGTCCGATGCATAAGATTGGTGAGTCAAAACGTAAATATTATTTATTGACCGTATTTCGCGCGTATTCATTGAAACAGCGTGTACATGTGCCTAAACGGTATACTGACTGGTAAAAGGTGAAATGAGCTAAGCAACGAATTGGGGCCTTGGCAAAACGGTATGTGCTACAAGACACAGACAGTTAAAGCATTCTATCACACCAGCGTCGGTTAGTTCAGTAAAGATAAAATTAATTTATGTAATTCGATAAATAAGCAACATTAATGAAAATCGTGTTCGCCAGGCTTGGTCCGTATTTGTATTACTTGATAATACAAATACTGGGGTTGGGATTTTAATGTCCTTAAAAATCGCGAAAAATGACCTTGCCTTAAAAAAATGCAAAAATGACTTAAAAAATTCAAAAAACGTCTTTAAAATATATTTAAAATGGCTTTTTAAAATTTTAAAAAAATACATTACATGTTCATACATATTTTATTATACTTCATATATTAATAAATAAAAAATTATTCTTTGTTGTTACACTAAATCACGAGAGCGTACCTCCTGTTGTTCCCCAATAAATTTTTCTAGATATACATATTTTTTTCTTATTCTTCAATTTGTTCTTTTCGTTGTATTCTATTTATATGCTTATATCTTGACATATGTTGTATTGTAAAACGTTTATCAAAGCAACTTTTACATTGCATACCTTACATAACAACACAAATCCGTCGATAGAAAAATTCTATGGTCAATAATTTGAAATTTAAAATCACCAAAAATGACTTAAAAACATCTAAAATGCCCTAAAAAATGAGAAAAATGATCTTAAAATCGAAAATTGTCAAAAAATTAGAAAAAAAAAAACGCAAAATTAAATTTCTTATATTAATTTAAAAATACCTAAAACTTATCTGTAACAAAACGAGCATCGTATAGAAAGCTTCAGAAAAAAATGCAGTGCATCGAAATCCCAGCCCTACTTATCACCTTCTGTAATGCTGATGATTTGAAAACATTCCGACCTTATTTCGCAATTTTATACTATTTATGGGCGTCCCCAGTGTGGTGGGGCAAGACGATCACTTACCTCCCCCTACAGTTTTATATTTGTTTTCCAAAACATTATCTGCAACGCGTCGATTTAGTAAACATAGATTATTTTAATGTAACATATATATTTTATGCAGAAGAAAACTATTGGATTATTTTATCTTATCATATACATTAAATATCTTATATTTGATGAAAAAAAATAATGTATAAATAAATCTTCATTTAATTTTTAAATTAAAGTTGCTCCCCTTCAAAAAAAAAAAAAATTCTGGGGAAGCCCATGATATTATTCTCAACAATAATGCAATTTAGTCGACTACATTTAATGAACATTTTACATTATTATGACTAATATCCTAAAAGAAATGTTTAAAGAATATTTTACTATTTTAAAATCTACTCTTACGATAAAAGTACGGCTCGTTTCCATCATAATCTTCAAATCTGTCTTCCGTTCCTACCAAATAACCCATAGGTATTCCAATATACCATGTATAATGAATAAAATATACAATATACCAATATAATGTCATAAGTAATTTTAATTTCCGAACCTACTACGTGTATTTTCAGGCTTGTTTGGCATACCGTTTTACTCGAAACTAAATTATCAATGATCAATCATTCGTATGCACACTTAAAATCGTCTCAAGACACGATAATGACGCGAAAGATTCCAACGCAAAGCGTTTATGCGCAACGTTACGGTACAAATAACTGTTAAACATCCCACACGTAATAATAATGTTGTTGATATAATACATACCTAATAATAATTATGTGTGCCTAAACGTGTTTATTCGTCGGATCGTTAATTATCGCCGTTATTCGGCAATAAACAACGACGATTCGGATTGAACGAGATCCGCACACGGATTGTAATATTAAATCCAATGGTCGTTTGACAGTGTAGAACGATGATGATGTTATTTATTATTGAAGTGAATTGAAACCTCTCCCTCGCACATCTGTACCTTCGACCTAGTTACCTATACGGTAAATTATGATGGTTATGTATGATGTACATAAAGTTTTTCCTATTGATACTTAAATAATACATTATCTTTCAATAACCCTTACCTCTGTTTTTATTCGTCACCGAGACCTCATTATTATTATTATTTATTAAACGCGGTTTAATCGTAACGATATTTTTTCTATCGTGAGACCCATTAAAAACGAAAACATAAAAGTTCCATTTTTCAATGGCATACGTATATAGACCGTATATACGACGGAGTTATTATACTTCGATAATATTTTAAATTTTCCCTCGGCTTTACCCGTAACTATTCTCATTCGAATTATATCCTCACCGTATGATTTGGCGACATACATTATTTGATGACACTATTGTTCAAGAAAAGCGATTATTTTTATTGTAAGACGAATCTCAATAGCTAAAATCAAATGATAATTTATTCAAGATTGGATATTTCAATTTGATAGTTGAATCCAATTTTTCAAACACGTTTAAGACATAATAATATTAAAACTATTTTAAAAACATGTATGAAATCAAAGAACCATTTGGATACACTAAATATAACTGACAAAGCGTTTAATAATATGTTCGAAATGCGATATCAAAATTAATTAATAAACAATATTTTTCCATACCTACACATTTTGTCAATTAAAACAATAATTTTTACTGTAAAATATCAAATACGCTTAAATGTTAAAATCAATAAAATCATAATATTACGTTTTACGACACATTTATTGTTCCATATATATCGATCATTATAATTATTTCCAAATAAATACAAACGTATTTTTACGAATTCCCAGTGCAACGTACTAATAATTATTTTCGGTGTAACTTTTCAACAAAAAAAAAAAAAAAATCTTAAAAGGTCGCTAAGGGTTTAAATTGCTTCAGTTAAAAGATTTTGAAATTCACTGCTGTACATTTTATAGCTGAAAAAAATTTATGTTTGATATGAACATGAGTAGTTACATTATTTTTTTTTTGTTGGAAAATAGCTTAATACAGCATATTAGAATATACTTGAAATCTTTCTCGTTCCGATCGAGATCAAGGAGCATAAAAACATAACCTATCACATAATTATTTTTAAAACTATAAGAAAATCGATTTCACGATTACAAGATATTGAAAAAAATGTAATATGTACAATTATTTGTTTGCTTTTCGGCTAAAAAAAAAAAAAAATATTAACATTTCATATACAGCAATAGAAGCATTCCATTATATTATCACCTCGTGACCTGGCTGAAGTGGTAACAATAATTGAATGGTAATACAAATCACATAAACATTAAAACGTTTTACGTTTGTACCTTGAATGCGAACAATAAGTACAGTGTTAATATGCAATTATGGTCTATAAGAATATTAAAAACATATAGATCCATAAATTGAAAATGTAAAAAAAATATATTTTGCTTAGATAATATTATTTATTAATTATTATTTTAGTTTACTTGATATTTTGAGCAAAAAGACATCCAATGACGGCACTTCGGCATTGGGTTTGGTGCATTTAACAGTTATGGATTAGATGAGGGCCATTAGATTAGATGATCCCAGGGCCACTGTCAATTGGCTAATTAGGTTCGGGAAAGATAATGAAAATTAAAATTTCCCCTTGGATTTGAAGTATGTAATCGGAGCATGGCGATAAAAACGTCCGTGAGGTGAATCGTAATTTTGGGAGTTAGACGCGTACTGCCGCAGAGGCAGACGTTATTAGGTCAAATCCCGGTGATTTTCATAATTGAAATTGTCGAATAAATGTTTTGATGTAATCTGGAGTAAATGAACTGGATGGTAGAGTCATTAAAAGCGGGATTTCTAGTGAGTCATTTATTTCGTTTTCTGTTGAAGGGTTAACACTATTATTCGAATAAAGAACTTTAGAAAAATGCACTCTAAATAATTTATCTTTTTTCCTTGTCGTCAATGGCTAAGATATCATGTAATCCATTAAGACAATATAACGATTAATTCCACTTATGCGTATGAATATTCATTGTGGGCATACAGTGAAAGCTATGGTCCCGGATTAAATAAATATTTCTTATTAGATCCCATTTGGTTTCCTGCTCACTCTACTGGACCAGAAGCGCTTGTAGTCGCGTCTAATCCTCGCGATATTATCAAGTATCAATCGGGTTCACTGTGAATAGATTTTCGTGATTGTACTACGACATAATGCTATTATTATGAAGCCTTGCACAGTTCATCGGTGAGCATCACGCGCAACCATCGTAGGATGGCACTACATTTATTTGATCCGAATCATTATTTACGATGATTGCAATTATCTGATACAAAACTATTCCGAAATAAGAACGTGTATTCGACGAATAATTATACGACCAATCATGGGTTTCAATTAAAAAACGGTTATTTTTCAATTTTCTAATACGATGGTAAAAAGTTTGGAAAAGACTATGGTCCATCATCAAACATATACCATCATTAAATAATGACAGCTAGAACAGGCGTGCGCGTCATACAGTTAATGCAGTACGTTATGCCTTATGTGCTTTTTTTATATTTTTATTTTTGTTTACAACATCGACAGCCAACGAAAGCAGTTCGTTCGATCTGTAACGATATGATATAGAATACGACCACACACGGATTCAAAAAACAATAGTTATACAAATAGTTTTAAAAAACCTATTCAGAACTGATATACGTTTTTTTTTTTTTTTTATCAATTCGTGGTTTCGCATTGGTTGCGAATCGTTGCGAACAAAAATATCTTCTGTATACTGACCAAGTCGAACAACCTTATATAAAATTACGATCATAAAACTCGGCACTCACTGAACTTATAAAATTGGTCTTAAATTAGAAAAAAATGACATTTTTCCACGGAGCACTTTTATATAATTGCAAAGTCGGTTCGTGGGAGTCGTGCACTCGTACGAACGATGTTTTATGAATTATAATTAGAATTTACGAACGATTGTTCATTCAGAACTCATTACAAAGC